TGCTGGGCTCTGGCGATCCTTCCGCTTCAGCCTTCCAAGTAGCTGGAACTACAGGTGTGCGCTACCACGCCCAGCTAATTTTTGATATATTGTAGGATGAGGTCTCACCAAGTTGCCCAGGTGGGTCTCGAACCCGCGGGCTCAGGCAATATACTCACCTCAGTCTCCCAAAGTGCTGGTATTACAGGCTGAGCCACCGAGCCTGGCTCATTTTTGTTATTATTAAAAATTTATGACTTATGGTATAATTTTTATTTTAGATATAAGTAAGAGGCTGAGAGAAACAACGTACTTGAGGCTTCCTGTTGATTCTAGTCACTACACAGACTTTGGTAGATAAGGGTCTAGGGCAGGGAAGCAAAACAGAAGGTTGCAGCTAAGAGGGGAGTGAATTTTCCTGTCATTTTCAGAATAACCTGCAGTCTTTCCTGTTATAGCAATGAATTGCTGGGGAGCAGCCAAGTACCTCAGGCACCTTTAGTTGGACATGGACATAACCTTTCCAGTGACCTTTTTGTCCACATTTGGGACATAGCCCATTCAGTAGAGGTCTCTCTGGGCATCTGTTTTCCAGTGGCTTGGTTTTCCACAAATAAAGCAAGCTCCTTGTGGTTTGGGGTTATGAGTGCATTTTTCCCAAAGTGACTTTCCTTATTGTAGCCAAAAGTTTGGCCTTTCTTTTTTCCTTCTCTGTTTGATGTTCCTCTCTGACTTGGTTTAGATTATTGAAAACCAAGAAGGCTGTGTTTAGTAGTTGAGATGAGAGAATTTGTGGTTTTGTGTTTTAAGTTTTGTAATTTTTTTTTGTTTCAGATGTCTGGGGCAGACTGGTCAATGAATGGGTATTCAGAACTGTCTGCCCATTCAAGGAGTCAGGGTTTACTCTAGTCTGGCCTGGAACAGAGTCAGGTTTTTTTGGTTTTTTTTTTTTTTCTTCTGGGTAATTTTTTGGACCTGGTTATAAGTGATGTACTTAACTATACATCTTGGAGGGGGAGCAGATACTTTGTAGTGGGTTGGTAAATAACTTCACCACAAGGGTTAGAGGGTAAAACCTTGGCTGCTGAGATCTAGGTGGGGGATAAGCAAGAAGGGAAATAGGGGGAGCACTTGCGGCAGGAGAGGCCTCCAAAGTGCTTTTGGAGAAATTGGACTCTGTCGGGCTATCCCCCTCAGAGACTGAGTACCTTTGGGGCCTACAAATTTAGCCTCTTGTCCTCTGGGTTTTGTATACTTGTTTGAAGACTGGGGCATACGATGTTTCACTTAACTTTTCATGCTCTATGCTTAAAAGAGTTCTAATTGGTGGGTGGTATTATAGTTTAAATTACCATTAATTTTCCAAGTTTCTCCATCGTCTAGTTTATTTTGATGCCAGACCGTGTTGCAAAAGAAAATTATTTTGTTTTTTTCTTGATGAAGTTATGTTTTAGCGTGTCCCTATACTTTAACCTAGTGCAGTGCTTACAGGAATGGATGAGCCAGCTCCCATAGCTAGGAAAGAAAAGAACATAGGGAGGACCATTATACATAAAGCCCCAGGCTGACTTCTCGCCTGTGAGTCACCTGTGTACAACTGGTTCTGCTAGGAGAGGGAGAAATAGGGGCAAGAAGGGCTCATTCTTTTGCACTCATGTCTCCCAAAGAACAAGAGTCGGTTGGCCTGTCCCCATCTCTGACTTCTTGTCTAATCTGCCAGGCCAGGTGTCTCCAACCCCGTATTTGACCTTGGCGTCATGAGACCCAAGGACAAACTTTACTGTGTCCTTGGAGGACCCCAGGTTGATTTCCCTTGTTCACTGGAAGTGGGCGTGCATAGCCCATGTCCTCTTGGCTTCATGACGTGGTGGGTCTCAACTGAGAGAGCACCAAAGATTTTTTTTTTTTGAGTTAGAGTCTCACTCCTTTGCCCAGGCTGGAGTGCAGTGGCATGCACACTCACAGCCACCCCATCGTCGACCTACTGGGCTCCAGCAATCCTTCCGCCTCAGCCTTCCGAGTAGCTGAAACTACAGATGTGCGCAACCACACCTGGCTATTTTTTATTTTTTTATTGTAGAGACGAGGTCTTGCCAAGTTGCCCGGGCTGGTCTCAAACCCGTGGGCTCAGGCAATCCACTCTCCTCAGCCTCCCAAAGTGCTGGGACTACAGGCTGAGCCACCGAGCCCGGCTTAGATTTTTAAATTCTCGGGTGCTAGTTACTATTCTTTCTGTCACAAACTCTATTCTCCAGATTTTTTAACCCACTTACAAAAGCAAAACCAGCAAGATGAAACAGGAAAGGGGCCTGGCCTGGAAAAGTTTGGGAGATTTACTTGGGACGGGGCTGACCAGGCTGAGTTCTCTGGCAGCATTGTCCACGACCATAGGGGTGGTCAAAGAAAGTTAGGAAGATTGCAGTATTTACCCTGGAATGGACTGTTATGCCCCAGTCTTTTGGCAGTGTATAAAGTAGTGTTTAAGGATACACAGAAGATGGTGAGGGTTAGAATCAAAGAAGGGATTATGATGCAGGGAGACTCAGAATAGTTCTCACTGTTCATCTCATCAACAGAGACAGCAGTAATGCCCCTTAGGGCAGTGGCAATTCGAGATGGAGACTGCAATGGCCAGTGATACAAGTTGAGGCAAGAACACTGAAAAAAACACAAGAATGTCAGGAGAGAGAGTTGACAAAAGGTTAGAGTTAGATTAAATATGTTCAGAGAAGCCGGGCTTGGTGGCTCAGCCTGTAATCCCGCGCCTTTGGGAGGCTGAGGTGAGTGGATTGCCTGAGCCCGTGGGTTCGAGACCTGCCTGGGTCTCTATAATAAAATAAAAAAAATTAGCCGGGCGTGGTAGTGCGCACCGTTAATTTTGGCTATTCGGAAGGCTGAGGCGGAAGGATCGCCGGAGCCCAGCAGGTCGAGGCTGCGGTGGCCAGGAGCTGCCACTGCACTCCAGTCTGGGCGACAGAGTGAGACTCCAACTCAAAATAAATAAATAAATAAATATGTTCAGAGGAAAGTCTCCCATCCCCCTGAGGCTTTCAGGAACTGCACCATGCCGGAGTAATTTCTTGCCACTCTCATGAGTTTCCTGTCAGGGAGAACTCTAGTACCTCAGTTCTACTTGGTATGTGTTAGAAGCCCTACTACTCCACAAGCCACCTGTCAAGGTGAGCTGAAACAAAGTGTTAGCTGGAGGGAGGAATGAGTTTGGAGTTGAGAGGTGTTTAACTGTAGGTGCCTCAGGAAATTTGTGAGGATACCCAGAGACAAACAGAAAGAAGAACATCCTCCGCTGCGAGCCATCTGCAGTGCAAGGGTTTGACACCTTTCCAACTCCAGCTTCTTTGTTAGAGAAAAGGAAGTGCAAGGCCAGCATCAGCTGAAAGGTAGTGAGCAACAAGGAAGAGAAATGAACAGTCAGCTTGACAGTGACAAAACGAAACAAAATGCTTAAGCAGGCAAGCATTCAAACTCACCAAAAGAAAGGAGGGTATTGTAGGAATTCTGAGTGTCCCAGTGATTGCTAACACTGTTTCCTGCTACACGCAGGGCATCCCTTTACCTGGACAGCTGTTAGGCCTGTCCTAACACTGGGTTCCCAGATTAGTAGACCTTACTGTGCTACCCTTCCCTGTCCTTTGACCCCTACTTGGCAACCCATTGAAAAAGAGATGGATTCTCTATGTATTGTTAACCCTTGCCTCAACGTTAATCAAGAATCAAAGAAGAAACGTTGTGCCCTGTGTCTCAAGTGAAAGCCCTCTCATTCCTGTCTTTGGAGCAGTATAGTGAAATGTATATCCAAAACAGTGAACTCCTCATGGAATATACATTAAGGGGTTGTTCCTATGTAAATTCAAAATCTCCAGGCTTAACCTCACATGGCTAAAAGCATAAAAAGTGAGAGAAAAGACAAGGGAGTGACCAGTGCTGGTCTAGTTAGGATATTATTTCTTGTCCAGGACTTGTTTAAATAGTTGCAAAGACAGCAGACTCTCTGGGGACAAATGGACTTTGGTTTCTGTAAATATCTCATAAAGAGAATCTTAGAGTCAAAATTAGGCAGCAAAAGTGACAGGCATTTGGTAAAGAAAGTTCTCTCCTTCCAAGAGGGAGGTAGTTTCCTTAGTTCTCTCTTCTTATTCTGGGACAAACAAACTAAAGATGATCAAGGAACAAAATCTAAAGTTAAAAGCTCAGTTAAACGCCGACAAGAAACACAGTTTTACAAACAAATTTTTAAAACTACATTTTGTGGCCAGGCTCGGTGGCTCTGCCTGTAATCCCAGCACTTTGGGAGGCTGAGGCGAGTTGATTGTCTGAGCCCACAGATTCAAGACTAGCCTGGGCAACTTGGCGAGGCCTTGTTCTACAGTAAAATAAAAAAATAGCCGGCTGTGGTAGCGCACATCTGTAGTTCTGACTACTTGGAAGGCTGAGGTAGAAGGATCGCCGGAGGCCAGCAGGTCGACGCTGGAGTGGCTGTGAGCGTGCATGCCACTGCACTCCAGCCTGGGCTAAGGAGTGAGACTCCAATTCAAAAACAAAACAAAACAAAAAAACTACATTTTGTAATTGCAGTGGGTCTCCATTATGAACACACACTCAATTGAAATAAATAATAAGTGGGACCCCTTGACTCATGTTCTAAAATGCTATGGCGAATGATATATGCAAGGAGAGGGAAATTTTGAAGAGCATTGGGAAAAACATTAAACATTCAGGGGATGATCTTTCAGACACAACAATTACAGCACAAGCAGAGTAGCAAAACAAAGGTGACTGAACAAAAAACGAAAGTTTGGGAGAAGAAACCAATGCAGACACAAAAAGGAGACTGAGTCTGAAAGAGAAGAGTTGACAGCAAGAGATTAGTGGCTAAGTCTGGCTTTGGGGCCTAGAAAAATGTGGTGGGTCAAGAGTGTGCTGCTTGTGGAGACAGCTCCTATTGGTTATGCCACCAGTGGTCATCTCTCTTTCTCTTACATGTCTCAGTTTTCCCATTGCATGCTGAAGGTAATCATGGGGCCACTGAGTGCCGAATGACCAATCCTTGTCTGTACCCCCCAGATGAGACACGTCTCCCAGATAAGATGTTTGTGGAGTTCCCTATGAGGCCCTTACACGTTGTGGGGATAGTTCCCTTGATACATTTGTGAGACCCTCAGTCACCCGAGAGTGCCTATTTTCACAAACTGAAGGGAAAAATGTTTACTTTTGACCTGGACTGAAGCCCAGGGTCTTAGTGGAGAGGGACTCCCTTACTATGAAGTTTTGCCACCAAACCACACTCATACACAGATAACAAAATACTGTCCTGCAGCCTGATTGTGAGAACATTCACTTACTCCAGTTATCCCAGTGGGTCCTTTTGTGGTTGCCAAGAAAATGTCAGCGGGATGCTGGCTAGAGGTTTGTTGGTCACTCGTGAATGAAGAATTGACCAGTCTTGGGGCAACAGTAAAGCAAAGCAAAGCTTTATTGTAAGCAAACAAGTATATTCCTAAGGGTGAAGAAGAGTGGACTTCTTGGAGAGTGAGTCAGCCTCATTTATTCTTCTGGTTTGTTCTTTTATAGCTCATTTTTGGAAAGTCCCCGCAATCTTAGTTCTAAGAGTTCCAGGTCTTGGTTGGTTAGTTACCTCTCAGGCTTGATTTGCAACCTTGTTTGGTGGTTGCAACCTGCTGAAATTGAGTATCTAAAAGTCATCTAGCTTCCTGTACCTTACCCTCCCCCTTCGTCCTGCTTATGTCTGTTCTAAGTACCTAACATTGGTACCATGATGTGAAATGCTTAGGGGTAAAAGTGATCAGAAAAGGGAGATGTGCCACAGTTTCATTTGGCTACAGGTTCCTTCAGGCTGAACACAGAAGATACTGTGGGGTTAAGGGAGGAGGAAAGAGGATATGGATTGAGGGTTCTGCTATAATCCAGGTGAGGTCTAATTGACCAGATTCATGGCTAAAGAGATTCGACTGGAACCAAAATTCACATTATTTAAAAGGACAGATTTTTAAATATGGATGTTCAGGTCATGAAAGAGAGGCATCAGTTATGACCCCAATGTTTTTGTACTTAGGAGCTATATCCATGGAAGCTGCCTGCATGAATGGAGATGTACAAGTTGGTAGCAGTTAAATGTTTTGACTGAACATACAGGTTAGGGCATCTGGGAAGGGTTAATACTGGTTCCTGTTTGAATCTTTCTTTCTTTCTTTTTTTTTTTTGAGCTGGAGTTTCACTCCGTCGCCCAGACTGGAGTGCAGTGGCTGCTCCCGGCCACAGCAGCCTCTACCCACTGGGCTCTGGCGATCCTTCCACCTCAGTCTTCCAAGTAGCTGGAATTACAGGCGTGCGCTACCACGCCTGGCTGATTTTTGATTTATTGTAGAGATGAGGTCTTGCTGCCCAGCCGGGTCACGAACCCGCGGGCTCAGGCAATCCACTCACCTCAGCCTCCCAAAGGCTTTTTTTTTTTTTTTTGAATTGGAATCTCACTTTGTTGCCCAGACTGTGGAGTGCCGTGGCATGCTCACAGCCACCCCAGCGTCGACCTGCTGGGCTCTGGCGATCTTTCTTCCTCAGCCTTCCAAGTAACTGGAACTACAGGTATGCGCTACCACGCCCGGATAATTTTTATTTTATTGTGGAGACAAGATATCATCAAATTACTGGGGCTGGTCTCGAACCCACGGGCTCAGGCAATCCACTCACCTCGACCTCCCAAAGTGCTGGGATTACAGGCTGAGCCACTGAACCTGGCCTTCTGTTTGAATCTTGCAAGCATATTTTAGATGCTATCAGCCATGTTGTGGCATGAGGCTAAACATAAAGGTCCATTATGGTGTGCCACTTAACTTCCCATGATGTTGGTAGGACCTCAAATGACCTGAACACAAATCTCTTTTCTATTTTGCTGTTTTTGATGAAACATCATAGCCCAACAACCTTTTTCTTCAAGGAGACTAAACACAATCCTGGTCTTTTGATCACGGGGACAAGGCTGTTATACTCCGTAGTGAGTTGCATTCTTCCAAACAAAGCAGAGGCTATCACAACCCTCTGGATCTTACAAATCAGGCATAGCACAGTCCCTGGTTGCTTACTCTTACTCATAGTGGAAGCCATATGTGGCCCTGCTTGGTGAGTGGTGTCCCACTCTCCAGCTAGTGAGTATATTTGATTTATGAACTGCTGTTAATGAACTCTGTCAAGTGTCAGATGTCACGTGTTTGACTGTCACTATAACTGTAGGATTAGACTTTCACTTGCTGAAGAAAAGAAGGAGATGAAATCACTTTAACTCGTGAAAGCCAGAGAGAGGCCGATGGTAGAGGGCAGTTGGCTGAGAATTGCCATGGGCATGTGGTTGCAGTCTAAAAATGAGGTATATTTAGACAAGGGATTATGCCTGGTGGACCCAGGGCGCTGCACTGGGCTTTACCTAACTTCGGTGCCTATCAGGAGGGGTTAGACTCCTAATATATCAGGACTACAGCATACATACATATTTGTCCACCTACTTCTTGTTGCTTACACTGTGACCAGTAGGCCCATGAAGACACAAGGCACCAGTGGGCCTAGACTTTCCTGTTATTATGGGACCTTGATAGGAGGATGGGCACTGGTCTGTGTGTGGGAGATAAGTTTTCTGGGACCTCAGCATAGGGACTGTTTGTGGTTTCATGTGTCACCATCATAACAGGACAGTGTGACCTTTGAAGACGTGACTGTGAACTTTTCCTGGGAGGAATGGAGTCTCCTTAATGAGGCTCAGAGATGCCTCTACCGTGATGTGATGCTGGAGAACTTGGCACTTATATCCTCCCTGGGTAAGTCCCTTACACTCACCCTGTAACTTGAAATAGTCCCTGTTCTTTTTCTTTTTTCCTTTTGGCAAGACTGTCTTTTTTACGTCAGGAACCTGGATGCAGCTTCTTTCTTTAGTTCTTTGGTAGGTGCTGTGGTTGGTAGGAATGAGATGTGTGTACTGCTCTCTTCTTTTTTTGAGCAGCGCCAACACTTGCTTCCCTTCAGGATCCCAGGGAAGGAGTCAGAGTCAGGAGTCTTACTGTCACCCCAATGCACCCCACCTTGCTTGCTCTCTGACTGTTGGGTGAATCTGTCTAGATCTGAGTCTCCTGTGTGCCCAGGTTCTACTTCCTTCTCCAAGCTCACATTTTTCATGCCTGAATGTGACAGGAATTGCCATCACTGACAATGTCACTACCTACATAGATCATAGGCTGTTCTTGTAAGACCCTCCTTAGACATTCTCTTTGTAATATCTAGTTTCCTTTTCTGTGGACTGTCTTGTGCTGAGTTGTTTTGAGCCAGTGTCAGCTTCTTCTGTCTTGTTGTTCCCTTTGTACGTTGTCATTTCCCATATACTTGGTCTTTTTGATGGTGGGATGGAGAACCATTAATGATCCAGAGGATGCAAGTAAATACAGCTTTCATGCAAGGGGCTCAGAGGGAGCATATGTCTGTGGAGTGGCACCCTGGGGCAGGACAGAACCTCAGGGTTGTATTCAAATCATACCAGAAATGCACTCTGTTTGACAAGTGTTTTTGTGGCAATATGAGTAGCCATACACTATTCTTTCTTTTCTTCTTCCTTGTTCTTGAGAGTTGTCAGTTATACGCCTTGTCACTTGTACTCTGAAATCAAGTCCAGGACTAATCTTCACATCTCTGGACATCATGTCCCACCAACTTTTGTTATGTCCCCATTTATAGTGGTCTCCAATATTTGTCTATAGATTTTGTATTAAGATTATGTACCTATGGAACTGTCCCAGACCAACAACTGTTGTACTCATTTTTGTGGGCCTGGATATACCATTCTTTATAGCATTCATATGTCATCAGCACTTAAGGTCCTGCAGACCAATTGGTTGCACAGACATGAGTTGCAGAACCTGCCTCATCTTCCTGTGTTGTGTATATGGTTATGCCCTTCACATCATGAAGCCTTCAGTATTCTATGACTTTTATAGCCTAGTTATGCTATAGGTCGTTTATTCCTTCCCACTCGAGTTACCTTGTGCTTTACCAGCATGTTCATGCTTTCAGGTCGTTGGTGTGGAGCTGAAGATGAGAAGCCACCTTCTAAGAAGAGCATTTCTATACAAAGAGAGTCCCAGGTGAGGACTTCTAGGACAGGTGTGTCTCTCAGGAAGTTCCACCGCTGTAAATTGTGTGGCTTGATCTTTGGGGACGCTTTGCAGTTGGCTCAACACCAGGAAACACATCACAAGCAGAAACTGAACAAGTTTTCTTGTAGGCCATGTGGGAATAAACTGGATGATGTAGCAAATTTTTATCAGCACCAAAAGAAGCACAGTGGAGAGAAACCCTATAGAAAGTGTGTTCGGTCAGCATCGTCTGTGAATAGCCACAAGTTTTGTGTGTCACAAGAGTCAGTTATCTGTGAGGTTGGGAAGGACTTGTTGCCCAGCTCAGAATTACGTCAACAAGAAGCTACTCATGCTTTGGAGAAGTCAAACAGTAAAAGCAAGTGTATGGTACCCTTTCAGGAGGGAAAAACTCCTTACAGCTATGGAGAATGCATGAAAGCCTTTGGCACCAAACGCTTACTTATTAAATACCAGAAACTTCTCAGCAGAGATGGGTGTTATGTGTGCAGTGAATGTGGGAATGCTTTTACCAAAAATAATAGCTTCGGTTATCATGAGAGCGGTCACAGTGGGAAAAAACCTTATGAGTGTGAAGAATGTGGGAAATCTTTTATTCGAAAGGCAAACTTCATTCAACATCAGCGAATTCACACTGGAGAAAGACCTTATGAGTGTGGAGAATGTGGGAAATTGTTTCGTCAAAAGGGCGGTCTCATTTTACATCAACGAGGTCACACTGGAGAAAAGCCTTATGAGTGTATGGAATGTAGAAAATCATTTAGGTGCAAGTCCCATCTCACTGAACACCAGAGACTTCACACTGGAGAAAGACCTTATAAATGTGGGGAATGTGGTAAGTCATTTAACCAGAAGAGCCACCTTGTTGTACACCAGAGAGTTCACACTGGAGAAAAGCCATATCAGTGCAGTGAATGTGGGAAATCTTTTGCTGATAACTCCACTTTCAAGAAACATAGGAGAGTCCACACTGGAGAAAGGCCTTATGAGTGCAGCAACTGTGGACAAAAATTTAAACGAAGCCATGCACTTGTCAAACATCGGAGAGTTCACACTAAAAAAATTTGTTAGTCAAACTTGTGCATCTTCAAGATCAGAGAGTTTGTACCTGATAAAGGTTTTATGAGTATGGCAAATGTGGGGTTTTCTTTATCTGAAAGTCTAGATTTATTAACACACAGAAGAGCTTCCACTAGGGAAGCCTTTTTTAGCACAAGGAGTGTGAGCAAGTCTCCGAGCTACTTGTTGGATAGCAGAATGTTCACATCAGAAAAACACCTTAGATGTATACAGAATGTTTCTTATTCTGTGTAACACTGGGGGAGATCTCTTATGAGTGTACCATCTGCCTAAATGTAATGTCACGTGTCAAATATCTGCATAAATTCTAGGTATATGGGAGCTGCATTGCATTTTTTACTCTTCCTAGGTCCCTTGCCAGATTTATGTGACTGCCAGTTCTCTGACAAAAGTCGTATCACCTCTACCACTCGGTAGGTACTGTAGTGCATCATTCACCCATTCCATTATCTCCTGGAAGTCAACCTCAGTTGTCTGTCATTTGCAAGAGGGATTTGTGTGTAGCGTCACACTTTTTCCTTTCTCATTTCTTCCCGATGCGTTGTGCCATTGACTTGACTCATTTTTGACCCAGGAGACTCTTGTGATGACTTGAAAAGATGGAGTACCTTCTCAGGGATCTTGTGGGTCTGCCCTGATTTTCCAGGTGGTGTTTTTCAGCCTTCAGGTTGCTAACCCAAGAATAACCAGCCCCTATTGCTTGGGTCTGTGATATGATAAAGACTTCATTGTTTTTTTGTTTTTTGAGTTGGAGTCTCACTCTGTCACCCAGACTGGAGTGCAGTGGCCACTCCCAGCCA